GGTGAACAAGGCATGAACTTTGTAGGTCTGCCCAATCTAGGAGGTGCAACAGTGTAGAGCTGTACGTGGGCCATTTGTAGGCAGGAAGGGAAAAACAATGTTTAAATATATAATTCTGATACACAGAAACAGGGTTTTAGGGGTTTAATCAGTGACAAAGATGGACTTCAATGTTGCGGCTGATCAGTATGTATGTTTACGACAAGACTTGATGACACCCGGAGCCGAAAGCGGTTTACACCTGATTAGCAAGTCTGTCAGTGTCTGCCGGTGCTCTGTCACAATGCCAAAACCTATGGTGCTTGTTTATGTCCCACACACCCTGTCATAACATTATAGACACCCCGAAGGCACAGAGGAATCCAACTGCAGTCAGAAATAGACTGTTGTAAGAGTGCGTCAGCAGCTGCCTCCTCATTCTGCATGGTGTTACCTTACCTGATCTGGAAATACAAACATGGACCTGAATCACTAAAGACGTGGACGCTGCTAACATAGTCACTGTAGCCGCCGGGTGATTTCAAAAAGAAGTAGAAAACTTTTGTATGAGAAAAGACAAACTTAATGCTAAAGCAGACCTGGGTTGTCCCGTTCCTGCTCCTTGTCCCACGTCTCGCTTCAGAACAGGATATTATTCTAGACTGTGGAAGGTGAGAAGTGTTCTGTTCTCAGCCTTAAAGCTCTCGAGGCCACGTTCCTGGACGTTATTGCCAAGTGTGGTCAGGTGAGTGGCAACAGAGCGTTTTGGTGACTCAGCTGCAAAGCTCTGGTGACAATGAGGTGAGCTGTGATCACACCGTGCAGTTCACCTGCTCGGGGACGCGAAAGCTCATAATTAATAATGAACTCTTCACAACTTTGTGACTGATTACATCAACCTCATCAAACTGAGTAGTTGATTGCAGTTTAGGCTAAGATGGACCCTGATGACCTGTTATTAATGTCACCAAGAGCACGATTTAGTGCACGCAAAAGGTGACAGAGGCGGTGTAAGTATATTTTCTGTCTGCCGCGCGAACAGTTTCAGCTGTAGATTTCACACTTTCCTCTTTCTATATTTCAATCACGGACCCTTTTCAGTGCTTAAGATGGAAAATGAACAGGTTTTTTGTGCAGTACTGGGAAGGAAGTTTGTTCTAAATTTATGCAATAAACCAAACATCCAAGCTGCAATTCAGGTTGTTTCTCAGAAAGTGAGAAAGTCTGAGGAAACATAAACAGCACCGTAAGAAAACGCATGTATGAATAAAATGATTTCAGAGATTTGCAACACGTGAATTTTCCAATTTATGTTCTAAATGTGAATAAAGTTTTCCACGGGCTCTATTGAAGTCCAATTAAGTAAAATGAATTAATTGACCTAAATAGATGCCAAATGAACATTTACAGTGGTAACTTCCCCAAACAAAAGACACAGAGGAGGAATAAATTCAGCATATATGTTAGCGGTGAATCTTTTTTTTTTCTCTATTTCACTTTGGAGAAAATATACAAATTGATGCAGAGCACTTGATCAGAATGCAGGAAATGAAGTACTGGATGCTCAAAAGACCTCCCACAGACGTCCGGCTTAATGTTCAAATGAAATCTACGCCCATGGGTTTAAATACAGAAACATTTGGCTATTTTCTTCTGATTATAAAGCACGATTTATTCGCATACATATGTAACAGATGAATCAGACGACTGGGAGATGAATCAGAAAATGTCAAAGATTTGTCATTTACGAATACAAAGGATATATTCTCGCTTTATTTAGCATCTTTTTTAGCCGTCAGCCTGAGATTTACATAGTCACAGGTTAGATTTGTTGGGTTTTTCTCTACAACGTTGTTTCGTAACAATGTTTTGTTACAATGTGAAGTGCCCTGATGTGCTTTACGCTGTGATTCATTGCTATATTATTAACTTGAGCTGAATTTCCACTCAGAGGACTATTGATTCACTCTTGTTTCAAAGTTGTCAGTTGTGGGTAAAAATGCATTTATTTTGGAACTCTTGTGTAAATCCAATGAGGATCAGTAGGAGATTGTTGTACAAAAGTTGCAGTAAAACAAATTTCTCAACTAAATCGTTGTTAAAATCACGTGAAAACTCGACGTCTTTTATTTTCTCAGTTGGTGAAACAAATTTTTGGAAAAAGGCTCTGATGCTTCACAAACAGAAAGTTGATCTAACTAATAAATTCATGTGGTTTTAGTTACGGGGTCCAGTTCATGTGGTACAAACATATATAAACGCTGCTTTTTAAGTGTTGTCAGCAGCGCAGTGCTTGGAGTGCATTTTACTCTGCCTGTGTCATTTTCACTCAAGAACCTCTGAAGATTATTCCGTGATCTGGCAGACTTTTAGAGGGCAAGAATGTGTTTTCTTGTTGATCCTCATTTGAATTGCAGCCTCGAAATTTACGACTCCACACAGTCATCATTACCACCATCTATCACACATTCTTGTGTGCGCGCAACACTGCATCCAAATACCATTTTTTATAGCGCTGTAGGTGATAAAACTCTAAGGCCTCACTTTTGGAGTCTATTCCATTTCGAGGAAATAGGTAGGCCTATGTCTTTCTTACTTCCTTACACCTTTAAAAATGCTTGTTTGCTTTTACAACTGGCTCTGTGGGCAGCCGGGGAGGGGCAGCGCAGATGGATTCGGGCTTCGTTATTTTTTCTCCCTTTGTAACAGCTCATTTAAAATCACAAGGGCCTGAAGCCCAAGACAGATGGAGTCTACTTAAGAAAGAGTCAGTGTCTAATTTAGCTCAAATACTTCCTAATGTGAAGTAACTCGACACCTTTGAGAAAATGCTTTAGAAGCTGTCGTGCAAGTTTCATGAAAAAGTGTTTGGGTATCAGTCTCTACGATACACCTCTGACTTGAACCTTTAGATGCACGAAGCCACCAACAGCAGCCCTTCCAACTGTCCAAAAACCTCAGAGTTGTGTTTTGCAGAAAGCAATATTAGACTATGAGTGAACTTTTCTGGTCTCATCATTGCGTGTATAGCATATCAGGTCAGTCCCATGACCCAAAGCTTGCTGTGAAATTGCTTAAGCTTGGTTTGAAAGTATTCACGCAAGTCATATATCACCCGCTCGCAGCTCACCTTATCTTGACTGCTCTAATGCTGCCACAAGAAGCCTTCCTCTCCTACATCAAAGAAATGTCTCCAAAGTCCTTTAAGCTCCCTTTAAAGGGCTACATAGATCTCCTGAAAATAAAGAGCTGAGTTATAGGGCCCGTTGTGGGAAAAGCAAGCCGGGCTTAATGATTTAGGCAGTTTGTTTGGGATGTTAATGTCAAAATTAGAAAGAATGAATTTACAAGGTTTTTACTCGCTTCACGCAACCTCCTAATAAAGACGGAGGAAAAACGATCCGGAACGCAAGAACATCAGAGGTAAATGAACTTTATTTTAAAAAAACGAAAGGTTTATCACGCAAGGCAACAAAGAAGAAGAAGAAGAAGAAGAAG